GATGTCTTCAAAGGTATGGTTAGTCCTGACATGCTTATGTTTGGCACAGTAAGATCGGCGTTTCTAGAGAAAAGGCATGCTTGTGTTTTGTTTGCATTGAAATCTACCAAGTTATTGGATCCCCATTCGAGAATTGTTGCCATCCAGTTTCTAATCTCGATGTCTACCACTCAGTGTCCCTTCAATTCGCGAATCAACTCGAAACCGAATTACTTGGAAACGAGATTCGGATGCTGTGAAATGCAAAGATGTAGTACGTGCACTTGCATCCCTATCAGAGCTATTATCTGGAGTGCACGGCGCGGGAATTGAAACCAAAATGTGCGAACAGTCTCGTGGGTACGCTCGTGGATTATTTGGATATCCGATAACCTGGTTATATTCCTCGATGATTCCACGAGGATAACTCAGCAGATCGCGAGATATCGTAGGTATGCGGTTTTCATGAAGTTAAGTTAACATCAACAGTGTCAACAGTAATGAGGCTATTAAAGCAACACGAGAAGGGTGATTGTACCTTGTGTTCGGTTCCAACAGCATACTGAACTCCACACGAATGATGATAATATCACACTATATGACTTATGACTTATTGTCGTCAGATATAATGTTGAATGTTGAATGCAAAACCCGCGAAACATCATGGAAACGTATAACGTTAACACTAATGAACCTATTTGAACACCGCGAGTAACTTTACACGAATGACGAATGAAGATAATCATTATCATAACAAAGACACACCACGAGTAAATAGTTATTTTGATTTGGACGTTTTATCACTAATCAACATACATTGAAAAAGTTGTGCGTTCCGACGGCCTTCAAAAATTTTCAATATTGTTTACTTATAGTTTCTCAGATATCGAAAGAGTGAATTTTTTTGAAATCTATTTAATTATTTTGACGTTATTATTAGAGCTACACTTAAACCAAAAATAATTATCCATAGCAACTTCTTTCGACGAGATTTAAGGTGGTGATATTGATTTACCTACGGGAAGTTTGGTATCCGTAGAACCATCATCAAATTTTTCTTTTTCAAATACGGTCCTGATTATGTATTCACAGATTCTGGAATCATTATTCATTCATATACGGACGGCTCCAAAACTGAGGAAGGATCAGGAGCTGGTATTTATGGGGCCAAGCCAAAGACAAGAATCTCACTGAGCTTAGGCAAATACGCGACGGTGTTTCAGGCAGAAATTATTGCAATACATCATTGCGTGAAAGAATTGATAAGGCAACAGTTTGAAGGCAAAACCATTACAATCTATTCAGATAGCCAGGCAGCAATCAAAGCAGTCAACTCTATGTAAGTTAACTCAAAACTAGTATGAGACTGCTTAGAAACCCTAAATGCACTGGGCAGTCAGAACAGATTGACTCTAGCATGGGTACCAGCACAAACAGGGTACGAGGGCAATGAAGAGGCAGACTCACTTGCCCGAGCAGGAGCAAATAAAGCTCTTAATGGCCCAGAACCCTTCTGTGGTATTGCGAAAGCTATACAAAAGACTAGTATCAAATCATGGATGCAAACCAAATTTCATGAATGGTGGAACAACTCGCCAGGAATGAGACAGGCTAAAGTCGCCAACATTCACAGAATATCTACTAATCCAGAAACGAAGTTCAACTAGAATACTAGTGGGACTTCTCACAGGGCATTGTAGGCTCAACAAACACATGAGTACGATAGGTCTGACTGAAAAACTGCTGTGCATATTCTGTCAAGAAGAAGAGGAAACAGCAGTACACATACTTTGCCACTGTGAGGGCTTGTCAAGACTAAGGTTTCTTACGCTGGGTGAGGAAAAACCAGGAGCCCAGAGATACACAGGAGATCTGAAAGCTAGCCTATGGAGTATCATAGAGAAGGCGGGGCTAGCCGAAGAACTCCAATCGATTTTGAGGGCAGACACAATAGATCTGAAAAGGTCGCAGTGTGGAGGCAGATAGCCCGAAGGCCCCATTCCAAATCTAATCTAATCTAATCTTCATTCTGAATTCAACCATGTATTATTCAAGGTGGTTTGAACGTCTTTCGACCTCTGCCACTAACATAGATCAGTTTCAATCGCGGCACGTTTGATAGATATTCGCAAAAGGGACATTTTTCCCTTTCATACGCTTTTTGTTGCAACTCGTTATCACATGCCGTGGATTTGGCACAGACTGCATGAGGTGTGGGGCACAGGTAGGTCTTTGAGATCTACCATTCAATTGGTATCGGTTGGCATAATTCTCATCTCGTTATCAAATCGTGAAATCCAGTGCAATTTTGTAATCATTTTGCTCAGGATAGTGATTAGCACAGGTGCCGTTCGATGAACTACAATGTCAATTGCATAAAATCAAAACTGGATGTAATATCACTCGTTAATTTATGTAGCCTACAAACGGAGTGGAGTGTTTAGTGAGTATATACTCTGGCTATAGAGTCAGGGGACTCCCTCATTGTCATAATGGGGGACTATAGATCCAAATGATGTCCATCAAGGATTTCAACCATCTCGACAAAAAAACTGACTTCTGGGGACTTTAGTTCACTGATGAACATATTGAAACATTGTGATTGTGGTTGTGTTTGGTCTCATTGACATGCTCAACTTCACACGGATGCATATGGCGAAGAATTTAGCATGGCTTTTTAATCAGGTCAATTTAATTCGTATCACTCATGTTTCACTTTATAGAATTATTTCAACAATATTTTGCAACATTGTTAAATGCTGCCTGCATTGGATATTTTATTCGAGAAAAATATCCTTGAATTTTTTGTGTTCATAATACATGTTTCAAGATTGAATATTCAGAAAAGGAAAACTATTTAAATATTGAATGACCTCGGTGCGGTTTCTCCTGTTTCGTGTTAGCTGTAGGGTCGGTAAAAGTTGAAAAGGGTGTATAGTGTGTATTTGTGACTTGAAAGGGAAACTGAAGGTGATATATCATTATATATTTATTTGAGTACACTGGTATATTCAAACGAGGCCCTGAAGCGTTTCTGATAAATTGCCATGCTACAACCAGAGAACTGAAGACTAATCGAAGAAAATTGCGAACTTTTCATGAAACAGTCCTTCATTTGTGTAAAGGGAACACTGGGATACGCATAATAATTCCACTACTAGTATGCAGTAATACTTATTTATACACGAAGGTAGTAAACAATATCATTATTATACACAGGGAACAAGATTATTCTGGACTACCAAGGTGTATATTACATTTTCTTCACTAGGGTTTCACAAGACTCTCGAAATTCGAGATTTCTCGTCTCGTCTCGAAAACGCAAACTCTCAATAGTGTTTGCATAAAAAAATTGCCCGATTCCACCTAACTTTGTGTATCGTAAAAATTCAAAATTTAACGAATGGAACAAAAAATATCAGCTCTATTTTTTTTCATCCGCTATCCGATAGTTTCGTCTCCGTTGAATATTAATGCATGCATTTTCGCTCGCTGTTAATCCAGACGCATTTGAATAGCATCCGGTCGAATTTCCATCTCGTCTCTGCCCTATTCCAGGTCCTCCATTAGCTATTCTACACGGTCCTTCGGAAAAGACGATGCAGATGAATGTTTCGGCTACTGGAATTGCGGAAGTGCAGCTTAATATTAAGTGAGAGAGTGACTTCAACAAGGCTAACTCATTTTTCATTAGGTATGTATATTGTCGCAAGTCAGATGTTGACCCTCCTATAGGTCGTAACTTAGCTACTCGCTTGGCTTTTTGACGAGAGGTTCTGATCATTTCACCACCCAACCACATTTATCCCCAAATAAAGAGTCAGGACAGTTTTCAAACAAAATTTGACATTCATTGATTGAATGGAAAAATCGTGGATAAATGCTTGCCGCATGACAGGTGAGCAAAGAAAAGGAACATAATGGCTTGCCAAATGAAAGACAACGCAAAACAACACATGAAAAAAACAGTACTTACATTACAACGTCTAGCCTGAGGTTGACCAGCAGGATAGAAGTCGGGGAGACGGTGAACATTTTCAATGGCGATCTGGCTCTATTTTATAGATATTTTCATGGACGATGCTGTTCTGGAATATCAACAATTGTTCCTCTTTTGGCAGTCCCCGCGAGATTAACCCGTCGAGTTGAGGCTTCGCACCCCTTCGTGGTCACTTTGTAGACCTGCAGAACATCTCTTTTCAAAGACTCGTTCATCTAAGGAACAGCGAGGCTCTGGAACACATTGCCAACGGAGGTGTTCCCGAGGCATATAATCTCCAGAAATTTAAGAAGAACACCAATTCCTACCTTATTTCCCTTGGTTCTCACGATGTTCTCTGAACATAACAGGATAGCCCTTCTTGTGGGAACCAGAACATACAAAAAATTGATAATTACTAATGTCTTGTATTAATAATAATGATGCCTTATCAACTCGGGTACTCGGAGAACACCTCCTTTGGCAATGTGCTCCAGAGCCTCGCTTTTCGTTGGATAAACGAGTCTTTGGAAAGAGATCTTCTGCAGGTCTCCAAAGTGACCACGAAGGGGTGCGAAGCCTCAACTCGATGGGTTAATCTCGCAGGGACTGCCAAGGGAGGAACAATTGTTGATATTTCAGAAGAGCATCGTCCATGAAAATAGGTACTTAATTTCATATTCATCTATCTAGCAAATCCAATGCCACATATCCAACAAAAAAAACTTTGACTTTTCTAAACAGAAATAATTCAAATCGGAAAATGCCCTATGGAGATAAGCGTAAGTGAAAAATGACCAGCCAAACAACCAAAAGATTTGGATCAAAACTTTTCTCAGACTTTATACCTAAAGTAAATCTATAACGAACCGTGTCCAATTTTTTTTTGGAAACTTTATTGTACATAAAATATTATGTTTCAAATTGGAATAAGGAATCTCCATTTGTGTGTTATATATTGACATGAATAAGTCAATAACGCGTTTATTTTGATACGAAGTCGTTACAGCGCATAATCTAATCTGGCTTGTTTTCCTGACCTCAAGGCCTCGAGCTGTTGTTATGGTAGACGCAATGGCGGATCCGAGAATAGCAGTGCTCGGTGCTGGTATTGTAGGTGTGACAACAGCTCTACAACTCCAAAAAACGTTTCGGAATATCGATGTGACCATCGTTGCTGATAAGTTCGATGAAGACACCACCAGTTGGGTAGCCGCTGGTATTTTCAGACCTGGGACGAGTTTCACGGGACCCAGTGAGGAAATTACCAGGTGAGTAACAGGTTGTACAGGGTGTCACTCATTCCAGAACTTGATCGATCGATATACAGAGTGTCTCGCAATTACAAAGAAAAATTTCAACCACAGATTCAAGGAACAAAAATAGTGAAACAAGTTTATGTAAACATGGAGTCATCTTCAGTGATATACACTGCTCGCCAACAGCCATGGAACCTCCTACATTTCCGGAAAATTATATTAGGAGGAAAGGAGGAAAATCACTCCGGATTTGAAAGGAGGACGTGCAATTCACCATGAATCCATAATTTTCCTGAACATTTCTCGATTCTGAAAAATTAATTTTACAATATTTAACTATGGAAGATACTGATACAATTTTGTAGACAATTTCATCAGCTACAATTTTGTAGGCAATTTCATCAGCTACAGTTTCGAATTTGTTGTTCTAAAATTTGTTCTAAAATTTGTTCTATCCGTCATTCGGTTGCCCCCTTACGAACAACCCTCAAAAGTCTCCGAAAGTCTTGTGCGAGCAAGGAATGACGGGGGCCTTACCTTTCGACGTGTGATCCCAAACACTTTCTTGGGCCATCAGAAAAAATTCTGCAGTCGACGGGGATCGAACCCACGACCGGCAAGCGAATGCGAATTAGAATATAGACACTCTGTCCGCACGGCTACCTGGCCAACCTATGGATTGACTGTTTTGCTGTGACCTACCGATCTTGAGATATGAACGATAAATCAAAAAAGGGACCTTATTCTACGTCTCCTCATGACCTTGACTCACCATGTAAGTTCGGGGACTTTTGGAATTCTCACTTCCTATCTACTCCGAACATATCCCTAGTCTCAGAAAAGCTGCCCTCTTTCATGTCCTCTACATCCCCTTTATGGGCGTTCATTGACTGAAGTGCAGAAGAAGACATTCTTATTCACACTTATTGCATTCGTCAGGAGTAAAAAAAGGTGTATTTGGTTTTGCTACGAATGGATTTCCTAATTTCACCCATCCCCAGAGCTGTTATTCTTCAGAACATGGTTCATTACTGATTTTTCTTTTGATTTCAGAAAATGGATAAACGATTCTTATTTCTATTGGAAAAATATTGAGGAGTCTGAATATGGGGCAGAAGCAGGAGTGACGTCTATTTCAGGATATATATTCTCCAGTGAAAATCCTGGATTAGTGAGGGTGAAAGTTCTTTCGATAATTCAAATTGATTCAGATATCTGTTATACTCTAGAAGCGCGATTTGGTATTTAATTAGATATGGAATGATATCATTTTCAATTGAATTTCACGCTTTGTAGTTAAGTTTATATGCATTGTTGTAGTTGAAATCGAAATCAAACTCTTCGAACCACTCTGTATTTTTTTATTCTTGCCAGAACCACTACATCGAGAATCTAGTGCCAACGTACCGCCAAGCAACAAGAGAAGAACTGAAACTTTGCCCAGGGCAGTGGAAATACGGATCTTTTTTTTCCACATTGCTCACTCAAAGCTCTGTCCATCTACCATGGTCAATGAAAAAATTCCTGAGCAATGGCGGCAAGGTTATCCAGAGAAAAATCAGCAGCTTAGCCGAGCTAAGCGAAAATTTTGACATAATAGTCAACTGTACTGGCCTCGGAGCCAAAGGTCTTTGTAACGATCATATTCTTGTTCCACTGAGAGGCCAGGTTATCAAGGTAAGATGTTGTTATCGTCAAAAACCAGCTCACAATCAATTCACGAATGAATTTAAAGCATGGAATACAGTAAAGTCCCAAGTTATGTAACTTGGTTGTTTCGCTCAATTCATAACATCAACTGATTGAACCTGAACACTTACTTTTTGTAGATTGAAGCTCCTTGGATAAAAACCTTCTTCTATGGTGACTACGATACCTACGTCATTCCTGGCTTTGATGCAGTCACCCTCGGTGGTTGCAGACAATACGATTCATATAATACATCAGTAGATGACTATGACTACCTCTCCATCAAAAACAGGTGACTTGATGCTATTGGTAATGCTCAAATTGGAACATAGCCAAGGTGAACTGTTTAAGTGACTCGTGGAATCTGGATAAATGAATAAGAGTCAGAATATACACATAATAGAAATTAAAATGTATCAAGGGTGAAAGATAGGTTTTTTCTGCAACGGAAATAGGAGTCGTCCATTTTAATACAAAAATTAGTTCTTGAATTGACGTTCCTATTACTAACACAAATATAGGTATGCTGCTAGGCAACACTTTCAGTTCCTAGGAGCTAAAGTTGAACTTTAGCTCCTAGGAACTAAAAAGGATGTACTACAGGTCACCAAGAATAATAGTAGATTGTTTTATTAGGATCAAAAGTGACACTTTGTTTGACAAGCGAATTCATTCGGAACAAAAATGACTTTATTTGACTCACAAATTTTGCTTCCTCTCGGTTTCACTAGACGCTCCGCCTATAAAATGCAAAATTTGCTCGGCGAACAAAGTGTCACTTTTGATCCTATTAAAACAATCTACTATATTCTCGTAACCTTCTGTTTTAGGTGTCTGTCGCTAGTCCCGAGTCTGAGGAGTGGTAGGATCGTGGGAAATCTGGTGGGATTGAGACCTCACAGGCAACCAGTGAGGGTGGAAAAAGAGGTTCATTTGAACCAAGGTGGTGATAGGGTGAAGATCGTACACAACTATGGGCATGGGGGCTATGGGGTGACTACGGCACCCGGAACAGCAATTTATGCTTGTGAACTCGTTAGGGAAATGTTGGTAGGGAATAGTAAAATATAATTGTCGAAGAAAAGAAGTAGAGAAAAATTAGAGAATATTCAATATTGGAAATGACTTTTTTTTTGTCTTTTTTTTTGGAAAGAGTATCTGAATTTATTCAACAAAAGTAAGTCAAAAACAATTTGGTTTTGAAAGAAACAATAACAAATCCCATCCTAGAAGTCAAATGTTATTATATATATGGTAAATAAGGCACTTGTGTGTCCTGCGACTTCAACACTTGCTTTTCGGTGACTGTCCTAACGGTGGCGTCATCGAAGCGCAACCAACAGTTATTTTCCATTTGGAAGGCATCGGTAAAAGTTGCCCCTAGTTGCCTTATCGCCGACGTGGTATACCACGGCAAACAACATATACTTTTTTCCTTCGGGCGTTTGTGACTTCGAAGATAACATCAACCTCGATTCGGTATTTAGGTCGACAGGGAATTCCAACGCCTTGATGATTTTCCTACAACCGTCTGGTTTGAAATCGAAGAATTTCAGATGCAGAATGAGGATAACTGGCTGCACATCCAACATCAATTGCTGCCACGCCTGTACCACTTCATTTGTGTTAGGAGAAGTCAAACCTTCCAGCTGCTCCTTAATCACAAGTGTCTCCAGAGCCTCTTGGATCGTCTTCACTTTGTAGACATTCAGTTGCAGAGTAAGGTTAGGTTGAATATTCTCCGTGGAAACAACTCCAGCTCGCATGATTCTCGATCTCAACTGGCCGCCAAAAATAGCGCGTATTAGCGTCTTTTCGAATACTGTACTTTTTAAAACACTGCAAGTATTCGCTGAATCCAAAACTGGTTTCATCAATTCGAACATCTCGTTGTTGAGGCCGTTCAGTAGGAATCCGAGGAACTCTTCTGCGTCTTCCTGCCTGCCCTCAATCAGGTACGACCGAAAATAATTAGCCAACATCTTGTAGATCCAGAGGCTCGAATAGAACCGTGTCGATCATAACGCTGTCATCTTTTCTTGCAGTCTTGTTGTAAAAGTTTCTGCCACTCGTCTTTTTCAGTGTTATTTTCCCGCAGAAAACAAGAACTACATGAATGACATTCATGAATATACAGTATCATTCATACACAGAAGGGAATTCATCCGTGTTTTCAAATATATTTTCCCGATATCTTGTCATCTAACACCACTTTTTGCTTCTAGATTGTAATTTTTTTGATTTACCCCTTCTGCCGGACATGCATGAAAACAAATTTCGATACTCCGGTAATATATTTTTTCTGCATATGTTTCGAAATTCATGGAGGACACTGTATCTATATATTGAATTCATTTAAATTTCATCATTGTGCGGTTCTGGAAATAGTTTTGAAACGGTGATATTCAATTCCTCATTCAGCCAGAATAAAATATGTAAATAATAATACACAATATTCTAGATATTCATGACACGAAGTATGGTATGATATCGTAAAATATTTGAATTATATTTAATGAGCATCAGAAATTGGATGAATTTCGTTTCGAAATAACAAAATATTGTCTGTTGGCTTGTATATACCAGGTGTTTCTCAGAAGTGGCTCACCCTTATAACTTTTTTGTTTTTACAGATGAACAAATGAAATTCATTGTGTAAGTAAGTCACTTCCGGTTTGACTGGAAATTGCCCTTATTTTGCAAAAAAATAACATACAATCACCATCACAGTTTCGAGTGGGGCGTAGTCATGAAAAGCGGATTTTGAATGTTCCTTGAGTTTTTGAAAATGTGAATTGGGTTTTTTTTTTGGGGATGCTAATTCTGAATCTGATAAAAACAGTTATTTGAAATAAGCCCTAATATCCTTTTCCCGAATGAAAGCCTTCATTGCACGCCAATGGTGAATAAAACTGTTCACTCTGCTAAATACTTCATTGTTTCAACATACAATCACCACTGAAATTTCAAGAGGATAACAACATTATCAACAGAGATATCAGGGTGTATTCATGGAAAGCGGGACACACTTTATATGACACTTTAATTTGCTTCATTCCATTAAATTTTGCTTGATTCAACAATTCCTTTTTTCCGTGTATTTCAAATCCAGCCGTATTCAGATAAAGATATCCAATAAAATAGATGTCCTTTGAAGGTAAATTGGCTTCTGCGAGGAAGAAAAGATTTTTAACTGTATATAGATTAGCCATTTTCCGAAATGATTCGAAAACGAGTAGGAAATAGAGGAGTTTCCTGCCTTTATACAGCTCCAGATCACGTCGAGTGGAAAATGATAAGATTAAACTTACTCAGATGGAATATTATGACGTCTGTAAAAAACCCTTACAGAGGCGTTACACAAATCTCTATTCCATACCAATTCACAAAAATTGAAAGGTTTTTTTTATGGTGAATCCATTGACACATGGTGGCGCAAAATAACTTTCAAGCATCAATTTCATATAGAAAAATACTACAATTTTTTTCACAATATTTATTTCTGTATCAAATCCTAAGGCTTCATGTATGTATCATGTCCTATACCCAAACCTAATAGTAGTTATCGAGAAATACACGATTGAAATAAATATCAATAACGTGGATATCCATTAAAAAAAAAAGAACAGAAGTGATGAAATTGAATGTCCAATTGGTTGTGTATTAATGAATGAAAACAATATAAACACATAATTGAATCTCATGATAGATTCACAAATAACAATGCATAACAATTCGATTATACAGTGTGGAGACTTCAACTGGAATATATTCGTTAGCGGCAAAAAGACAATGGGCTTATATCACAAAAAAAATTATTTCATAATTCGATAGAACTCACCCAAACTAGCTCACCACCGCAAACCGTTTCTTCCTAACTGAGAGCTCCCTACGTTGTATAAAAAAATATTGAAATCCCCGATTTTTCGGACCTCTGAAAACGAGGCGATGATGTGACGTCAAAACATTAATACTGAAACAAGACTATTCCAGACAGAGATGAATGATACATGATTTCTGACATAGTGAATTAGCGTGAGGTCACAGTTGAAAGAATTAATATATCAGTTGCTTCAGTCTCCGTCGGGCGTTTGGTATTTTCTTTTAACTATGGCGAGTTGAGGTTTCTACGTCATAAGAGGGTCCGTTTTCAGAAGGTACCATTATTCATGTCCAAAAATAAAACATTCCAGTTAATTTTTCGTTCGAATTATGTCGTCAATCATTATTTATGTATGAAAGGATCATTATAAACATGGTTTGAGTTGAAAGTTCTACTGAGGTATACACGCCCATTTTTTTTCAAATTCTCGACTCACCTCAACGATTCAATGTATTTACCTACCTTTTGCTAGCAATATAGAGAATATATCCTTCCAAGGGTAGCTGAAACCACCCTCAACTTGATTTTTTCAAATGTAACCCTATGGCTGAAGACCTCTCGTTGGAAAGCTGGTGAAAAGAGGAATCCATGGTTCTAGTCGAATTTCAGTTCAGTTCATATGAATGAAGGTTGCATGAAATTGAAATATAATTTTGAAATTAAATTCATTTTCAACGTATCAATCGCTCAAAATGTGTGTTGAACAATTGACAACTGCTATCTGCTATTGCATTCCAGTATTTTCATGGAACCGCAAAAAAAATCAATTTTTTTTGGCGTATTCACAGTTCCATACGAAGTGTTTTTGATGAAGATACGTTGAAAATTAATTGAACTTCGAAATTATATTTTGATTTTATGCGATCCCCAAACGTAGTGCAAACTGAAATATGATCATTACTCTGGATTCCTCTTTCAACCAGCTACCCCTGAAAAGTTATATTTTTCATATTGCTCGCCAGATGTAGGTGAATACATTTGAACGTTGACATGTCTCGCGAATTTTCAGAAAAATCATTCACTCCCCCAGTAGCGTATTCATTCCAGTTGAAGTCTCCACCCTGTATATAGTAAGTGGTCGATGGATTGAATATTTGATTCGATTTCTTGGTCTGTTTTTCAAGGAATTGGTCTCAATATATTCATGCAATCGTATCTTCATTGATAACTGTTGACTTATACCTATAGAATTCGATGCTTCCAAAGATGGAATGAAAAATTGGTTTTTAATTCGTGAGGAATGATCGTTATTTATTCTTGAGCCACCCTGTGTACCTGAATTTTGAATTCACCATCGAAAAAAGCAAAAAATCCTAGAATTTTATATCAATTTGTTTCCACCTACGCCACTGCCGTAGTAGTATGAGAAAAACTCACAAAGAATAAAAATCCCGACCGATGTTCGAATGTCCTGAGCCCTCAGAACTTGCGGAAAAGAGATAATGCACGATTTCTTTGAGTGAAAAATATTTTGCTCGGTTGGGCGGTTCCTATTTCGAACTACTTATTCGCAACGATTGAAATCATTTTGTTCAATATTATGCTATTTTTTGAAGAAATTACATCAGATCGTCGAATAAAATTCTTGGAACCCATTTTTTTCAGAAGTGGGATAACCCACACCTGCCATCAAATCAATCAAATTGAATACTGATAATTGGTATTAGCATGGAAGATTTTACGTCACATATATTCTTCAGAAACTTCGTATACACACGTCAAACATCGAATTATTATATCTGTTGATAAATGAAAAGTTATAGTTTTGTATCATGAAACATCATATTATCCTCTTCGATTTGAGAGATAATGTCAATTCTCAATTTCAGAGGATTTTGATTATCCATGCTCTGATTTTGAATAGTCAACAGATATGATTCAATGTTCGACGTGGCAAATAGCCAGGAAAGTAGTTGTTTTCAGTTGAATATTCAGAATGATATTAAATGTATATCTTTATATGAAGGAGAATGGAAATTCTCTATTCCAGAAGATTTTGTTTTCAAATTCTTATCGTGTGTGTTCAATAGATGTAATTCAATATTCGTCGTGGCATATAGCCAGGAAAGTAGTAGTTTTCTGTTGAATAAGCCGAGAAAGAATTAATATTTTCATCACATGGAGAACGCGAATTCTCAATCTATTTCTTCATATACAGGGTGTCCCTAGACCAGTGGGACAGTTGAATATCTCCTGAACCAATAGGAATTTTATAATTTCACATCATATCGCATTATGAGTGCTAACTTCAGTTTCTGACTGAAACTGAGAATTCTACACCACCCTGTATTTGTTTCAATTAAATACGAGTATATAGTGAATCAAAAGTTAAGATACGGACATGTGAGCCGTTTTGACCAATAATGAATAGTTTTGACACAAAAAATTCCCAAAAATGAAAAATCTCGATTTTCCACATCCTATAGACCCCAAGTATGCTAGGTCGTTGAATTCAGCTCTTCAAGGAGAATATGAAAATGCAATGAAATACAGGGTGTTCCATTTGAAAAAATTGATGTTCGATTTTGTGAGCCTTTCTTGCACCCCTCGTAAAAAATATAGTCATTCCTGAAGTTAGCACTCATAATGCGATATGATGTGAAACTAGAAAATTCCTATTGTTTCAGGAGATATTCAACTGTCCCACTGGTCTAGGGACACCCTGTATATATATACAGGGATTCAAACTTGAACGATGGAAACTTGTCATTTTTATAGACCTCAATCGCAGCTTCGTGATTAGGTTTTCTCAATTCAGAATTTCTTTCCACGTCCTGTATAATGAATATCACTTTATCATACATCCTAAAATATTTAATTCTCGTTGAGAAATAGGTATCCAAGTGTCTTACTTAGCTAATATCTAAATATGGACGAACTACATCAACCTATTCCATTGGATCTGAAAATTCAGAATTCGGAATTAAACCCACAACACCTTGTAACTCAGTATCAGTATTTTTTCGAAATCAATTGACTACTGGAGAAGAGATATAACGAAATAGAAAGAGAGAAATTATGGAACGGGATAAAAATATATTATCGAAAGCGTGAATTTATTTTTGCAGAAGTGGAATATATTTCACTGCAGCCACCAGA